AAATTCTATGATGCAGTTTCCAGCATTATTTCTGTCCCCAAGGCCATATTTTCCAACTACTAGTGATTCTTCTTTATTTCCAACTTTTGCATTCCAATCACCAGTGATAATTAACACATCTTGATTGCATGTTCGGTCAATTTCAGACTGCAGAAGTTGATAAAATCTTCAATTTCCTCATCTTTGGCTTTGGAGGTTGGTGCATAAATTTGTATAATACTAACATTAATGGGTCTTTCTTGTAGGCATATGGATATTATCCTATCATTGATAGTATTTACTTCAGGACAGATTTTGAAACATATCTTGTGATGATGAAATGCCATGACATTCCTCTTCAAATTGTCATTCCTGGCATAGTATGGTTGTCTGATTCAAAATGGCCAAAACTCATCCATTTCAGCTCACTAATGCCTAGGATATTAATTTTTATGCATTCCATTTCATTTTTGACTACTTCCAATTTTCCTAGATTCATACTTTGTATATTCATGTTCCAATTATTAATGGATGTTTGCAGCTGTTTCTCCTCAATTTGAGTTAGCAAATTGAGGTCCCAAAAGATTTCCTTTATCCATATCATTAAGGTTGATTCTGCTCTGATGAGGCAGCTCTTTCCCAGTTGTATTTTGAGTACCTTCCAATCTAAGGGGCTCATCTTCCTGCACTGCATTGGACAATGTTTCCAGGCTATTCATAAAGTTGCCCAGTAATGTATCAGACAGTGTTTCTCTGCTATTCATAAGGTTTTCCCTGGCCAATTCTTTGAGAAGTAGAAGGTCTCTTCCATCTTCCTAGTCTGTCTCAGGCTGTAAGCTGCATTGAAACTTGTGCACCACGTGCAACCCTGCTGGTATTTGAAACACTGGTGCCAGTGGCACAGCCTCAAGCCTCACAGCAACATACAACTCCACAGAATGACAAACTGACAGACAAGTTTGTCTCCCTTAGCTACTGGAAACCTCTCTGCTCTCCCCATACCTAATTCCTACCTGGATCTTGCAGCTTTTGTGGTCCCCAGCGTTCTCTCCCTTTCCTGCCTCTGGGGGTGGGTCCTGTGTTTAAAACTTACTACCTTTTTTTTTTAAAATTTGTTTTTATTGTGATTTGAGTGACGATTTATAGAGCAAATTCACTTTCCATACAGTTTACATGTACTTTGTCTCATGACATTGACCAGTTTACCACAATGCAACAGCTCCCCTCCCACTTCCTTCCCATAGTTACCTCTTCCCAGTGTCCATCCCTCCATGGACTCCTGCCCCCTGAGCTGTCTCCCTGCGCATGTGAGTCTGACTTCACTCCATAGATCTACCAAACCAAACTCAAACTCACTGCCACCAAGTCAGTTCCGACTTATAGTGACCCCTTTGGGTTTCCAAGGAGGTATCTCTACAATAGATTGCCCATTCTTCTTCTGAGGAGTAGCTGGTGGGTTTGAATCGCCAGCCTTCTGATTAGCAGTAAAATGTCTTAGGCACTACGCCACTAGAGCTCCCTCCATAGATCTGGCCTATACTTAATATCAGGTTGGTCCTTCTAATTTGACTTCACTCTCACAGTCCCCTAAAACAACCTCAGATGGTGCCCAGCTACTCTGTCAGAATAGTGTATGTGGTCTTAAAAGTTTGTAAAGAGGAAATAGCCATCCAAAAGACCAATGAAAATCCCTTGCAAAGATAAGCTACCCCTTTGGGAGTGGCATGAGACCTGCTAACCCTGAAGATGGGAGCTCTGATAGCATAGTGCCTAAGGCACTTGACTGCTAACCAGAAGGATGGCAGTTCAAACCCACCAGCCACTCCTCAGAAGGAAGGTTGAGCAATCCACTTCCGTAGTGATACTGCCTCGGAAACCCAAGGAGGGGGTGGCTATGAGTCAGGTCTGACTCAACAGCACATAACAACAACAACCCTGAAGATGAGACTCCACATGTAGCAAGGCAAAATATTAGTCCTGATCAAACAGTCTCATGTAGAGATTACTGATCACAATAGGCAAATGAGTAAGAGCATGTAATAATAACTGAGACACTCGATTAATAGGAAGAAGCCATGTTTTGTTCAAAGTCTGACTCCATTTTGATTTTTTAGCATCGGTTCCACTTCAAAACTACAACTTATCATTTCTGTAAGATTCCACTATGCTTTGCTGAAGCCAACAGATAAATAACTTTTAGAAAAGAGTAAGGGAACTTTAACCATCCTCAGCCAACAGAATGACGGAGCCAACACGCATTCTCAGGAAACAGAAGGTAAGAATGTAAAATCATTTCGGGAGAGCGTGTCAAGATGTAAACAATTGTTCTTGGTAAGAATATGATCATAACTAACCAAACTGGTCAAGATGTAAATCATTTGAAAAGAATATGTGAACAGTTTTCTTTAGAACTTACTACACTCATGATTAACAAAAACAGAAAACGAAACACCAAACCCACTGCCATCAAGTCGATTCTGACTCATAGTGACCCCCACTGGGTTTCCAAGGCAGTAAATCTTTACGGAAGTAGATTGCCCAGTCTTGCTTCCGTGGAGTAGCTGACTACAATTCCACTATCAACCATAACCAAACTGGCTGGCTCACTGTCCCCTAACCAGATGGCTGATCCTGACATTTCAAAGGACTTCAAACTGAAGCTGATCTTACCCATAATCAATCATTACCCCTACCTTCCCTTCATTTCTGTATGTATAAAAGCTTCTAACTCCACAGAGACAACACAACACACACTTTGTTGTGAGCATCCTCAACTCTGCATTTTCCCAATTCATGAACTGTTTTTCTTACTCCTGAATAAAACTCTTTGCTTTTACTTTATGCAGGCTCTATGACTTGTGCTCTACAACAAATTAAATTTCTAAAGGTTCATTTTTATAGAAGCAAAATCTGTGTGCAAGTAGCAATATTTTGAGTTTAGAAAACAGTATTAATTGAAAATATACTAAAGATGATTAAACACTTGGGTTACAGGGTCTAAATTTACTGCAGAACAAAGGGGGGCAAGGGAAAGTTAAATGATAATACAAATCTATTTTACTCTCAGTGAATTTCCATGAAGGCCAAAAAAGAGGAACAAATATATACTACTTCATTTTTCCTTCTTATCCTAGTTTAAAGAAACCCTGGTAGTGCAGTGGCTAAAACACTTGGCTGTGAGCCAAAAGGTCAGCAGTTCAAACCCACCAGCTGCTCTATAAGAAAACGATGTGGCAGTCTGCTTCTATAAAGATTACAGCCTTGAAAACCCTATGGGAGAGTTCTACTTTGTCCTATAGCGTTGTTATGAGTCAAAATCAACTTAATGACAATTTTTTTTTTTTTTTGGTTTATCCTAATTTTATTATAAGTCCATAACCAGCAGTGGTTAATTTCCTATCTGATAAATCTTTGAAAGATATATTCATTAACACTTCAAGTCCTCTAAAGCAATTGTTGCAAGCTGGTTGAATATCAGAAATTACTTGGGAGGCTTTTGAAAAATGGAGATTCCCGGGTTCCACCAACATATAGATATGGAAGTCTCTATTCTTAGAAAGCTACCCAAATGAATGTGACAATAAAGCTTCCAAAACCACTGCTCTAAGATGGTTAATCATTTATCAAAGGGTTCCAGGAAAAAACAAACAAAATTATTTCTCATTTCATAATTATTGAAGCAAGGAAAAAATGTTTTTTCTTCATTGCAAAACTGATTTTTAAACAAATTATTAGAAACCAAATGAACACTTTTTCCTTGAAGGTGAGGTGCCTGTATTTGGTTCTTAATATTAACTATACCCTCACTGTAATACTTTGGAACTGTCAGTCATCTTTTCTGTATTTAAATGTACTTTTGTTCCCTTCCATTCCTTAAGACTTTGTAAGTATCTCTCATTAGCTAATTTATTTATGTCAAGGTGGTAAGTGAATTGCCCTTTTATTTCACTCAGGATGTTTATGTGAAAAACAGCAAATAAAAAAATTCTTAGCATATGTGTGTATACATACACACTCTCACACACATAGAGAAGAAAAAAACCTTTTCAGCAACCTATATCTCAAATTATAATACTAGTATCTTCTTTATAAATTTAAGATGATGTGGTAGTTAAGGTTGTTGTCAACCTGGCTAAGCCTGGTTGAGTGGCTGGGCAGCTAGTGGTAGTTATTCCCCATGATGAGACTGGCAATCAGCTCCATGGTGGAATCTGCCATGAGCAGCTGAGTAGCTGCTTTCGGGATATGGTCTGCTTCCTGTATATAAGGAGAAGTCCTGAGTTTGGCCTGTAGCCTTTTGGCACACTTGAACCCTGCATACAGCCAAGTTGTTGTTCAACAGCCTGCCATGCCCTGCCAATCTTGGGACTACTCCTGGACTTGAATTAGTGGCCTGCCATGTTGTTTGGTCACATTGGGACTGTGCCTTTTTACTTGTCAACCTTGGGCTTGAGAGCTTCAGCAGCCAGCAGATGCCTGAGTGAAGAAAAGCCTCCAGCTTCAGTGGGCCAGGAGCAGGAGGCAGAGCTGAAGCCCAAGGTTGAGGGGCTTTCACCCAGCCCTTACAGCTGCCACTTTGAACTTGGACTTGAAGCCTCCAAAACTGTAAGGGAATAAACCCATTTGTTAAAGCCATCCCATTTGTGGTATTTCTGTTAGAGCAGCACAGAGGCAAATGGAACAGATGATCTCTGACATACAAAGTAGATGAAAATTGTAACTATTATATCTTGCTTTAACCTCTGTTTCCCTTATCTACAGACTTCTACCAGAGAGAGAGAAATATAAAAGGCATAAGGGAAGAAACAAGGAAACATTTTAAATCTTTCTCCTAAAATAATTTACTTTCATCAAAGTTGCAGCAAAAAAACATAATGACTGGTTAAGAAAGGGAGAAACACTAAAGGAGAGAAGAATTAAGTCAATAATAGACAAAAAGAATTTTGATTAGTAATTTGCTGCTTTTAGAGATAGCATTTCCAATCCTTAATTAGTATCCATTCAATCAATGTGCTACACACCTGTAAGACTGTATCCTCACTAGGAACAGGCATTGTCATATTTTCATTCATTTGCTCTTGTGGATACTCTCTGAGTTTAAACCCAAGTTGAATTTCAGGAGAAGGTATGCCTAGAATGAAATATAATCACAAATCATTTGCAACAGTTTTACTGCTCTGTTTTGACAATGAACTTATGATTTTATGATTTTACTAACATTTAAAAGTATCATTAAAACTCATTTTGTAAATCCTAATTTCTTAACAGAGCTCTGATGGTATAGTGGTTAAAGCATTTGGCTACTAACCAGAAGGTTAGTGGTTCAAACCCACCTGCCACTCCATGAAGAAAGATGAGGCAGTCTGCTTCTGTAAAGATGCACAGCCTTGGAAACCCAACGAGTCAAAATTAACTCAACGATCATGAATTTCGTTTGGTTTTTCAATTCCTTAACTGTTACTTTAAGTCTCAAGGTTTCTGAATTGCTAATTAGAAGGAAATGCATATACTACATAGGAAAATGAATCCATGATCCTCAGGATCAATGAATGCAAAGTATCTGTCTAAAAAATTATACAGAATCAAGCCTTATTAGAAAGAATCTTTTTTTTTTCTTAACTTCTTTTGGATCATTTTTGAAAACTCATAATGCTAATATATAACCAAAAAAAAAAAAAAAAATTCTGTTTTTGAGATGGCAAATGGAGCCCATATCTTAACTCTTCTTTCCCCACTCTGAGTTTCTAAAGAAATGACTATTAAAAAAATGTTCCAATTATTAATGGATGTTTGCAGTTGTTTCTTCCCATTTTGAGTTGTGCCACATAGGAAATGGAGGTCCCAAAAGCTTTACTCTATCCATGTCCTTAAGGTCCACTCTATTTTCTGGAGGCAGCTCTTTCCTAGTTGTATTTTGAGTGCCTTCCAACCTGAGGGGCTCATCTTCCAGCTCTATATCAGACAATGTTTCAGGGCTTATCATAGTTTTCCAGTGATATATCAGTGTTTTGCTGCTATTCATAAGGTTTTCACTGGTCAATTCTTTGAGAAGTGGATGGACCCTTCCTTCTTCCAAGTCTGTCTTAGTCTGGAAGCTCTGTTAAAATCTGTCCACCATGGATGACCCTGCTGGTATTTGAAATACCAGTGGCATAGCCTCCAGCCTCACAGCAATGCACAAGCCACCACAATACAACAAACTGACAGACAAGTGGTGGCCAGAGCTCCTTACAGACCTATATAAAATGGGAGCTCTGGTGGTGTAGTGCCTAAGATATTTGACTGCTAACCAGTAGGCTGGAAGTTCAAACTCACCAGCCACTCCCTGGAAGGAAGATTGGGCAATCTACTTCCATAGAGATACTGCCTCAGAAACCCAAAAGGGGTCGCTATGAGTCAAATAGACTCAACAGCATACCTATATATATCTGATAATTTAATGTATGACAATAATGGCCTTTTAAACAATTACAAAAAGATTTTTCAATAAATAATATTTGGGCAACTGGTTAACTGTGTGAAAAAGTAAAGTTAGAACCCTTCCTTTCCCATATGCCAAAATATTATACACTGATTAAAGAAATAAATGTAAAAACTATAAATATAATAAATGGAAATAAAGAAAAATATTTTTATGGTCTTAAGGTAGATAAACTATTTCTAAACTTGACAGAAAACCAAAAAACCCTTACAGAAAAGACTGACAGATTTTTATTATATAAAAACTTCAAAATTCTGTACTATAAAAGATATGAATAAATTATAAAAGAACCAGTAAACTGAGTAAAACTGTCTGCAATATATATGATAAAGGTTTGCTATTTTTCATGTATAAAATGATCTTATAAATAATTAGTAAGATAAAAATAATTAAGAGACATTTATAGGCAATTCACACATTCAAAATAACTATGAATGACCAATATTAAAATATGCCTAACCTCAGTATTCCTCAAAAAAGCAAATTAAAAGAGATACCGAGTACTTACCAATTTAGCAAGACAGTATGTTCTGTACTGAATCTGAGGGGAAAAGTTATCTTTTGAGGGGGCAATCTATATCAAAATCTGACATGCACACACCCTTTAAAAGCAAATCTACACTTAGGTATTCCAAAGAAATAATCAGAAAAGTAGGCAAAGGTGCAAGTACTAGAATACTCATATCTATAATGGTATTAAGTGAGAAACACCATAAATATCATCAATTCATTAAATAAGGGTATATTAATACAATGGAATGATATGCAGCAATTTAAAAATTAAGATCAATGCAGACAAGGAAAGAAATACAGACAGTATTATTTATAAAAAAGATATTTATATTGGCATACAAAAGTCTGGAAGGATATAAAAATACAAAATATTGGCAAAATTTGGAAGTGAAATTAAAAAGGAGAGTAAAGGTGGGACCTTTCACTTTCCAGAGAATAATACTTTGTACATTAAAAATGTTTACTTTTAATAATTAGAAAAAATCACAAAAATCTATGCAGTTGGAAAGGAAAAGAAATGAAATTTTTAAAAATTTGGTTGGAATATTATAGCAGATGTCTAACTCCTTACTAGTGATACTTTATACATCTTAAGAACACATTCTGGGACCAATATTAAACACTGACCCTTCCAATTACATGTAGGAAAAGCTGTTCAAAGGTGAAACTCTAACTTGACTTTGAGATACCAGGTGAGATGAGGACTAAAGAAAAAAGAAAAGTTAGTGAAACAATAATACTTTGGAAATTAAAGGAATTACTTACTAAAAAGTAATTTCTTACCTTTGCCCATTCTATGTGTACCAGGATGGAGACTGGACTCAGATCTAAGAGATATCTTTCGATCAAAAAGCAACCTTTCAAATACCAAAAAAGAAGGCAAAGATGGTTATCGTGGTACCTTAAAAAAAAGGGGGAGGAGGGGCTTCCATTTGAAGCATCATTTTCTATTACACTTAAACTGACTATAAAGATTCATTCATGTGGTCATGTTCATTTTTAGAAATATTCTGTTATTACTTTTGGAATTTTGAGGGTAAAGGACAAATATCAATCTAGTTTTTTGAACAGAGAGGAAATGAGACCACATGAGAAACCAGCCTTGGCATGGTTTTTCCCCTTCAGTTTTCTCTATACCAGAGAAACTGAGATTAAAATCCTAGGGTTAACTCTGAATGTATATTTTCATAACACACAATGATAGAATTCTTTTAATTTTTGCATATGCTTCTTACTATGTGCTAGGAAGAATCAAAGTAACAAAGAAAGAAAAGACACACAGTCTTTGCCCTAAAGAAGTTCCAAATCTAGTAAGGGATACCTAACTAAGAAATAGCAATGATACACCATGTTGAATATGCTACTCGGCAGGCTTACATATCATCTTTTCTACTTACAAGGAAAAAAAAAACTTTCCAGAATCCAAGAGTACAACAGTGAATTATCTATACTACAACATGCTTATTTGATTTGACATCACGGGTTTTATGCTTCTTTGTTTTTTGACTTCTTAGGGAAAACTTCAAACATGAACAAATTAAAAGAGAGAATAGTATATCCATCATCTAGATTCAATAATTATCAGTTTACAGCCAATCCTATTTCCTCTCTAATCCTCCTGTTACTCCCACTCCCTCCTGACCTATCCCTGAATAATTTTGAAGTAAATTCTGGACATTTTATTTTATTTCATCAATGAATATTCGGTATGTAACTCTATAAGATAATACTTCGGAAATTAAAGGACTCTTTTGTAATGTACCCACAATAATCACACCTTTTAAAAAAGAACCATAATCATTACACCTTAAAAAAAAGTCAGTAATTCCTTGACATGATCATATTTACAGTCTGGTAGGCATACTCTACAATGGTATTTATACCCTGTATAACTCCTTCCTTTGAATGTGGGCTGGATCCAGTGACTCTTCTAATGAAGAGAATACACCAGCCATGTTGGGATGCTACCTTAGAGATGTAGTTACAAAAAGACAGCAGTTTCTATCTTGCTCTCCCTCTCTTATTCTCTTGCTTCCTCTCTCTGATGAAAGTCAGTTTGCCATACTGTTAACTACCGTCTAGAGAAACCTCCATGGCAAACTAAGGGAGGTCTCCAGTCAATATTTGGCAAAGAACTGAGGCCTCAGTCCAACAGCCAGTGAGGACCTAAATCCTGCCAACAACCATGTAAATGAGCTAGGAAGCATATGCTTCCCAGTTGAGTCTTGAGATGAATGCTGCCTGTGAGAGACTCTGAGCCAGAGTACCCAATTAAGCCAAGCCTGGATTCCTGATCCCAAGATATAGGATAATACATGTGTATGGTTGTAAGACACTAAATTTTGGAGTAAGTTGTTATACAGCAAATAGATAGCTAATTAACAGACAGAAGTCATGTTTTCTAGTTGTCTCTTTATACAGTTGTTTTGTTCAAATTAGGATCAAAACAAACTGCAGACAAAAAAGAAAGTATAAATAAGAATATAGAGATCTCCTGTAAATCTACCTGTATTCCCTTTGAGCTTTTTCTCTGTGGTGGCTTGTGTGGGTAATGTGGCAAAAAGAATCATCTAAATTCCTGATGGTTAAGAATCAGGATCGGCACAAAGCAGGTTCCTATGAGATGGAGGTGAGACATACATCCACTCTCCAACTTTTTCACCATTTCTGATACCAGCTGTTCCCTCCACAGCACTCTCTACTTCTCTGCAGGGTTCAATAATTTGTTGCAATGGCCACACATAACTCACAGACCATACTCATAGTTATGTGGCTTATTAGGGAAGTAACAGGCTGCAACTGAGGATAAGGAAGCACAAAGGCAAGGTCTGGTTACTCTCACAAAGCTGAAAGCCCATCTCTCCCCCTTCAATACAAGATAACTTCCAACAAGGGCAGATCTCTCAGTTGCTCTCTGCCATTAAGCATCCCCACTGTAGGCCTCTCTGCTGCTAACTGGCCCAGGTCATAACCAATGTTGTAGTCCTCTCAGCTGTGAAGGCCCTCTCTCAGTTATGCAGGCCCTCCCTCAACCACTAGCTCTGCTGCTGAGCCCCTTCCAGGCCTCGTTCTGCCTTCAATGTTACAGTCCTTGACCTGTATTACAGCTCTTTTAAGGGGCTATTAGGGAACCCCAGGTCCAAATCACTCTGTTCCAGGCTTTTCTTGGTCTTGAGGTTCCCTCCTCCCCACCTCTACCTCTGTGGGGTTGGCAGCTTATATAACCAAACTCTTTATCAATTTCAAAGCATGGCCCTCCAGCAGGACCATGAACCAACCAATCTTCTAGGTGGACCACAATTTGCTCAACCCTACTGGACAATTTTACACACTATCATTCCAACCAGTAAACAGACGAATCCCTGCATGGTGAGTAAAATAGACCAATCACAAGGCAGTTTGTGGCCCAACAAATCAATTTTGACAGAATTACAAATCCAGGGCCAAAAGGCTATATATAAGAGAAACCCATTGCATTTCTCTGTGAGTGCGTGTGTGTGCATGTGTGTGTGTGTGTGACTATAAATTCTTTTTACAAAGCTATATATAAGAGAAACCCATTGCATTTCTCTGTGAGTGCGTGTGTGTGCATGTGTGTGTGTGTGTGACTATAAATTCTTTTTACAAACCTTTGGTCAATCTTTATAAAGTTTTAGAAGCTACATTTTTCATCTAACATTGTGTCATTAAAATTCTTCCCAAAACCATTAAATATTGATAATATACTATCATCATATCATGCTTGATTAATTTAAGCATTAAAAAATTCTAATACATTTAGTTTTTTTTTTGTTATTGTAAATATCTCAGAAATAAGTTGCCTTACATGGAATTTTTGGGTTGTATTCTTTTTACTATATCCTAAAAAGAAAATGAAAAAAGTAAGGCCTAGAAAAATTACTTATTCGTATCAGGAAATGACTGAAAATATTTTTTATTTCTTGATTATATACAGCAATAACAAATTTGCCAAAATTCACTGACTACTTCACTATGGGTGCAATATTTTATTTATTCATTTTTAACTTTTTATTGTGATTTGGGTGAAATTTTTTACAAAGCAGATTCATTTTACATTCTATAGGTCACACACATTTTTTTGTTTTTTTTGCAATGTTCCTTCCCCTCCCCTCCCCTCCCACCCAACCCCTCCCATCCTTCCATATATAAATCTTTCCTTGAGCTTTTACAATAATGAACAAATACCACATTTGTCCTTCTGTGATTGACTTATTTAATTCAGCATAATGTCTTCCATGTTCATCCATGTTCTGGAGGGTTTTAGGGTGCAGTATTTTAATAATATAGCCGAGATACTAGGAAGTTTAAATTCTCGTAAATAAGCAGCAGGGAAAGTTAGCTGACCGAGTTAAAGGAAAAATTTCAGGCAAAATCTGATTAAAGATTTCAAACCATTTTCACTGCTTTGTTAAAAGTACAGTGAAATTTCTAATGACAATTGTTGTTGTTGTTGTCATTTGCCATCGAGTCGGCCCCGACTCATAGCGACCCCTCCTTGGGGTGCTGAGGCAGTATCACTATGGAAGTAGATTGCCCAACCTTCCTTCCGAGGAGTGGCTGGCGGGTTTGAACCACCAGCCTTCTGGTTAGCAGTCAAGTGCCTTAGGTTTCAGTTTTATATGTTATCAAAACTTCAATAGCACAGAGTCTTGATGCTATGCTAAGCCTCTGATTCTTAAAAAAATCTAATTATTACTTTAGCGTAACAGTTCTAAAAATACTACTTGGCATCATTCTGCTTTACTTGAAATATCTTCTATTTTGACATAGATACTGACCAAAAATGTTGCTTTCTTAATTTAATTTGATTATTAAGCCCATGTCTCTTTGTACTTTGCTTTCATTTCTACATTCCTTCAGTTAAAAGATATTTTAATATCGTTTGTAACAGGTATTTTCTATTTAGAGAATTAACATGACAAGCTTGGTCTATTTTAAGGGATAGAAGTAACACTCATCTTTCAGAATCATTATGTTGAAGTAGCTTTTAATGCACACAATTATAATGAGTTCCAGTGGCAGTGCCTAAGGCATTTTGACTGCTAATCAGAAGACTGGCTGTTCAAATCCACCAGCTGCTCCATGGAAGGAAGATGGGGCTGTACTAAAAAGATTTACCACCTTAGAAACCCAATGGAGGTCACTATGACTCAGAATTGACTCAATGGCAGTGGGTTTCTTTTTGGTTTTTTTGTTTTGTTTGTTTTGGTATGCAATTATAATGTTCAGAGGATATAATCTGACCTGAACATATATACAAATCCACATAACAATGAGCTGTCTTATAAAATAGTTCTGTTTAAATATATCGTAGTAATTAACTTGGTATACCGCTCTTAAGGTTTTGAGCAGTTAAGATTTTAAGAGCATGGGACAGAAAATAAGGATTGGTAAAAAGTTCAAGGTGTATATATGTGTGTGTGTGTGTGTGTGTGTGTATAATGAATTCTGCCTCTTAGAATACAAATCACAAAACCCTGTTGTTGTTGTTGTTGTTATGTGCCGTCGAGTCAGCCCTGACTCATAGCGACCCCTCCTTGGGTTTCCGAGGCAGTATCACTACAGAAGTAGGACTGCCCAACTTTCCTTCCGAGCACAAAACCCTACCACTCAGCAACTTGCATTTTTTACAAAGGATTAGTAGTTAACACCTACAGAAGCAGAAAATCACTGGCTGCATCCTAGAACAAAGTTTCCAGAGGCAGAGATAGGACCAAAACCAGGCTCTCAAAGGGTGTTTTTTCATACACAGTTAACACCTGGCATTCTGCTTCCTTGAAAGGCTTGCCTTTTCCAGTTCCAAAGGTCATCAAGCCCCTTCTCAGTTCTTAGCAAA